TGCAGAAGAGTTAATTTACAACTTAAGCAAAAAGCTATTCTATTTATACAAAATGAATTTGCTACAACTAACTATTTGCTACGTTATAAATTAACCAAATATAGGTATATACTTCAATAAAAATATACTTAAATATAAAATAATAAAAATAATGTAAACTATAAAAATAATAAAAAGAAATAAAATAAATTATAGATGTTAAAGAAATTATAGGCGAAACAGAGTAAACAGAGTAAACAGACTGTATAGAAAATACAGAAGAAATAGACGAATCAGGTGAATTTTGCAAAGTCTTTAAATTAAATAAATTAGCCTGATTTTTCAATGCAATATGTCGATCAAGATCTTTCTTAATATGATCTACATAAAATTAAATCTAATGACTTTGTAAATCATTTTTCTAGGACAAATTTTCAATGCTGATAGCACATAGATATTCAATAACCTGTAATTTAATATCTTTATATAAAAGAAAATCTAATTTTTATATGACGCCTATATTTAGAACTAATAATCATACTATTACTAAGCTATTTGTTCACTTAAAAGCAGATAAGCTATGCTTACCATAGATTTTTGTTCAAACTCTAGGCAAAAAAATTACTTACTTTCATCTTTATGTATTTTTAGTTCTGAACTAGATGAAGAAATTGACTTACCATTTAAAGTGACAAATTATTCTTCTTTTTTTAATAATAAATTTAGTGATTCTAATATGAGTTTATTATCATTATTACTATTAATATATATATTATCAAATATATGATCATCATTATCCGTATTAGGCTTATCTGTTAAAAAAATTTTAGTAATCTTCTTAGAACTCAAAGCTGCTTTTTCAATATTCTCTTTTATTACGTAATATCAAATCTGTATTACTTTTATATACTAGCCTGCATGAATTTACAACTCATGTATCATTTCTAACCAGTTGTTATAGCATGTTTAGTTTTCATGTTTGCATTCCATTTATAATTTTATTACTATTAAAACATGTTTTTTCACCTTCTATCCAAAAAGTATTAAACTATAATTCATTAAACTTATTAAGTTTAGCATCTGATAGGGTAAGTATTATTTCTTCAGGGTTTTTTTCTTATTTTTAACATTTTTTATTAGTTTCTCAAGACTGTCTAGTGTGTTTATTCAGTTTTGATATTATAATTCTGTTAAATTGAAATATAAAAAAAGAAGAATGTTATTGCAAATGATGTCAAATGACATAAAATTTTATAATTTAACTATTGTCACATGATTATGAATTAATTACATTGTGATGGATAAAATTTTAGATAGATTTAATTGGTAGAATATGAGTCAATTTTATTGCTATGTAGATCTTTTATGAAGATTATTTTGTCCATTTTATTGCCATCGATCAATTATGCAAATCCTTAGATGTCAATTTTATTGTCTTTGATAATTACGTAGATCATAGATGTCCATTTAGTTGCCTGCAGATCTAGCAATTTTATTGACATAGCAACTTTATTTCCTACAGATCTGTCAATTTAATTTCCTTTGAATATTTTTAGTTTAGTTTATTTAATTATTTAATATGTATAAATATTTTTGTATTTTTATTAAGTCTTATTACCTTTCTGGTAAAGGTAACCAATGAGATGTTAATCTTTTAGATACTGAACTTATATATTATATTAATAAAGGAGTATAATTAACCAAGTATAAAACTTATCCTTCGCAAACCCTTTGAAACTGTTATAAATTATCTATGACCCTTTGCATTTATGCAATCCTTTTGTTAATGAACTTATTATATGATATTGTATTGATTCGCTATATTGACTTAGAGTTTCTGAAGTATAATCTCTGAAATATCTTTGAGAAATCTTTGTGTTTATTTTGTGTTTACCTCACGTGATTTATATTGAAAATAACTCTTCGACGTTATTGTAAATCCTCACCTGTAATTTCTTAAGTAATTGTCTTAATTTTATTTACTCTTTTTGAGATTTTATTTGAAGATACGAAACTAATGTGACAACATATTGAGTTTATGATTAATAAAATCATGAATTTAATATAGAAATTATTGGCAAAATTTTCAGTGGTGGCTTGTTCATTTGATGTAATTAAGCCAATTACATTATATTTCAAAATTATTCATTTTAAAAAAATTACTTTATAATTGAAAAATAATTAAAAAAAAATTAGTTAAATTTAATATTATTTTTTTTAATAGTAATTATTTAAAATATTTCTTTTAATAAAATTATTTTAAAAATATTTTTTAAAGGATTTATTTTAAAATAAATTATATGAATTTTATTATTTTAGGCAAAATTAGTTTCATTAAATTGATTTGCAAAATCTTTCAAATTTAGGATTTCAGAAGTTTCAGATAATTTTAGATCATAGAAAAATTCTTTAGATAAAACGTTTCAGATGTTAACAAATAGTTACACTTAAAATACTAATGAGTTTATTTAAATTTAAATTTAATTATTATATAATAAACTTAGATTAATTAAACTAAAATTTATTAATTTTATATTATTTAATAGTTTTTTTTTAAATTTAATAATATAAATTTATATTTATATATTTATAAATCAATATATATTATAATTTTATAAATATAAAATATTTTAAATTATAATATTATTAAAATTAAATTATAGACTTATTATATTTATTTTTAATAACTTATTTGATTATAATAAATAATACTTATTTTATGATCTAATGTATAATTCATAAAGTTTAACTTATTAAATTGATTTTAATTTTTTTGCTATTTATAATTAATTAGTAATTTTTGCAAATTTATATAATTTTAATCTTTTATATTTAACTCTTAAGCTTAATTTATTTTAACTTAAAGTTTATACTTTAACTATTACTAATTTTAATTTATTTACTTTTAGCTTTTTTAAAGTATAATGTATTTGTATATTCACCTATTATAAATTCATTTATTCATTTTAACCATTTAGATATCCTAATATTATAGATATCATTTATGTTGTTTATTTATTAAAACAGTTGATTGAAAGATTGTCTTTGAAAAAAAAAACGAGGAATATCATTTTTTTATTTCTGTTGCATGATTTGTGTATCATATGTTAATATTATTTTATAAAATGGTTAAAATAATTAATTACATTAAAGAAGGGATAATAAAAATAACAGAACTCATTGTTAATTCACCATTTTAAAATTTGACAAAACAATCGGATGGATTATGAAAATTTTTTTTTTTTTAAAAAAAAGAAAAATTTATCATCTGATATTAAAATTATTTTTTTTTTTTTTGAAAATAAGGTTTGTGAACGATATCTACAGTTGCGCATTTAATCAATTAGAAATTCAAATTCTGATTAAACCATTTTTTACCATTCATTTGTAAATTTCTATTCTTTTAGTTCACATATTTGTTCTTCATTTAGGAAGGAATACGATGCGCGTCATTCTCATATGACACAATACAAATTAGGATTTGATTTTGATAACGATAAAAAAAAAAAGATTTTAGGATATTCTTTAAAGATGCAAAAATTTTCACGCATAATATAAAAAAATATATATATATATTTATAAATATTCTTCTTTTAGACACCAAATAACGCAAGTCTGGATATGCAATTACTTATTTTGTATTTATAAAAAAGTTCTTAATCACCAAGAGCTATTTCATAATATTGTCATAGTCAATCCATATTAAGCACATTTATTAGAGAACGCTTCAGAAATAATCAAATGAATTACTACACAAAGTTTGCTGTATATTAACATTAAATATTTCATATACTTAATCATTTAATCATTTAATGCATATATTATTGTAAAATAATTTATAGATGAATACGCAGTTGAGATAATATTAGGCATGTATAATATTAAGTATAATGTAATTAAGTTTAAAATCAAAGATCTGGTTGATTGTTTTAACAGTTTTTTTTTTTTTTTTTCGCTTTAAACGTGTTACGTATCATAAAATCTTGTTTGTTCGCATGATTGATCCGATTTTCACCGGATTACAATGATGTGGGTATAAAATTTAAAGTATGCTATTTCTGGATAGATTTCGAAGAAAGAAAACCTAAAAAAAATAATCAGATAATAGGACTATGTGAGTGTGTATTAAAATAAAAGGATCAAATAGTGGTTTTTATTTTATTGTCATTAAAGATTAACGCGTGGCGCGTCATTTAACAATAGGTTCTATCAATGAAATTTCTTATGAAGTCTCGGCACAATTTTGGTTCAGCCACTAAACTATATATATTTAACGATGCTTTAAGAATACGAAAAATACCGCTGCGGAAGAATAAACGGAATATTCTTTCCGTCTATCCCTAAATGATAGGACATCCTTTTATTCAACCAAATCCTATTGTTTAAAAAAATTTTTTTTTTGTTTCGTTTGGAAGTATTAGTAATGTTTATGAAAGGATTGCATAAAATCATAAACCTTGTTTCACAAATGAATTTCTTAAATGCTTTTTTTTTTTAAAAATTATAAAGATTTTTTTAGTTAAATTTAGAAAAATACTGTGATACAAAAAAAATATATGGTTAATTTAATTAATTTCCCATCCCTAAATGCATTCCATTCAAAACATGCACATTGCACATCAATTGTTTTTTTTTTATTAAAACCAATTAATAACCAATTTTGTAACGTTCAACACCTCGAATAATCACCTCATATTCTTCACATCCTCCCCTCCCCCCTAAATATTGTTGCATGATCCAACCTATAAATAAATATTACAAATCATTGTGTTGGTTTTCTACACAGATTTTTCGTTTTTTTTTTTTTGATTCTATTTTGGAATAGATATAAAAGCTTTTTAGAAGGAAAAAAATAAAATTAAAAAAAACTGGGATTATTTCCATTCATTATTTTTATTTTATTTAGATCAAATAAAGAATATTCATAGTTATAAACAAGTTATTTATTTTGAACATTACAACAAACACCCAGAACATTTCTTTTTTTTTTTTTAAACTATTATACTCGCACATTCTTATAAATGGCAGCAATTTATTATTGTAAAATTTGTGAGAAACTTATTGTGGATGAAGATGAATTACCGACAGTGGGAACTTATTGTTCAAGGAAATGTGAAAAAATCTTTGAAAAATTTGGGTAGGTTTAATATTTATTACTATGTACGTCTACGTTAAATCGTACATCATTTATTTTATTTTATTTTATATATTTAATTTTTATTTATTTTTTGGTAGTTTGGATAAAGGAATAAAAGAATATGAAAGGAGGGAAAAGGTCAGAAAAGATCGTTTATCAGTACATGTTGATGACGATGAAGTCGAAGTACCATCATCGTCACAAACTAGAAATTTACCAGCAGAATTTGCTCCTGATAACGGAGAAGCAAATCCTAATCGAAAACAAATAAAAAAGAAACTCTCGGATAGTAATAATCATAATAGTAATAACAATGAAGAAAGATCTTCAAAACCTTCAATTTTTGCTAATATGTTTAATAGAAATAAACGTGATGAGTCTGAAGATGAACCTTCTTCTCAAGACGATTTAAAGAAAAAGAGAAGTGGCAAGAATGATCGTAAATCTTTAATTGATACACTTCCTTATGAAGATTCCGTGGAATATTTGAGGAAGCAAGTTAATTCTGCTGGAAATACCCCAAGAGAAAGAAGTCGTTCAAGTATAGAAGAACCGTCTGACAAAAGTACATTTCAAAATAATAATAATAATATTAGTAAGAAATCGAAAGAGCGGTCAGAAGATCTATCAGAAGAACGTTCGAATGAACGATCAAAGGAACGATCACGACGATCTAACAACCCTTCTACCATTGACACAACACACACCCCCATATACACACCCACCATTACACCCACTCCCACCATCATTGCTACACCCACCACCACCACCACTCCTATCACACAAAATCATTTAAGTACATCTACTACTACTCCTCTTCCTGTCGAGAATCAATCACAAACGGTACCGACTTATCCCGACGTAAAGCCAAATAAACATGAAAATTATATATTTGAAGATAATATTTACGATGAGCCTCCTCCTTCATATGAATCAATTTGTTCACCACAAGCTGCTAATGTAGATGAAAAACCATTGACTTTTGAACCGTCTGATGAGAAAAAAACGAGCACTACAGAGAGAACTGCAACTAATAATACAATGAATACAGATAAAAGGAGCACTATTAGTAGTTATACCACTGCGATTGTTGCTGATGATTCTGCCACTAATGCTGCCATTAATTCTGCTACTGATACTACCGATAACACCAATATTCCTCCAAAAGTACCTCCGAAATTACCTCCGAAAGTTCCTATTTCGAACGCTCCACCATTGATGAATCCACAACCACATATACAACCTCCTAATCAATTTTTTCTGCATAATAATCAACAACGTCCTTTCTACCCTACTATTAATCAACAAAATGTTTTTAATCATTATGGTATAAGCAGCAGTTCTCCTCAACATCAATTACCGCTTAATGTTAATAATTTTGGTGCCAGCCATAGTCATCCTTCCACATCTTCCACACCTGCTGATAGATTCTTGAATGAACAGGCAAATCTTCCCTCGACAGTTTATCCTCCTCCATTTTATACAATTAAAAGATTTGGCAATAATACATAACATCATATATTTTATTTTTGGGTGCGCTCTTTTCAAAGAAAATCACGCAAAAGATCTCATATAATCTTATTATTCTCTGCATACATGTAATTAACAACAAATAAATTATATTAAAAGAACAACTTTGCATTTTTATTTATAAACTTTCATTTCTAATAATATATACGATCGATGATGTTCGTTGCCGATGAAAATCTTTGTTTATATTTTTAGGCCAATAAAATCAATAAATCTTTTAGGTAACCATAGGCGGAAATATAAATACAAATGCATCTTAATGGTTTCCAACCTTTTTTCTACGCTGTAATATTGTAACCTCCTCCGTACACTCCACGAAAAAAAAAAAAAAAGAAAAAATTAATATTTCAATCTTTTTTAAATTTTTTTTTTTTTTTTTTTTCATTTAACTTTCTTGTTTTTAAAATGAGGAAAAATTATTGCGTAGTTTGTAAAAATCCAGAAGTTTTGACAAATAAAAAAACTGGGGAAGAATTAAAATATTGTTCAAAAAAATGTAGAAAAGTTTCCGTCAAAAACGGGTTATTAGAAGCATGTACTAATTGTGGAATTTACCCTAAATTATTAGAATATGACGAATTACTCGAATATTGTGACGATGATTGTAAATTAGAATTGAACAAAACAAAACCAACTAAAAAGAAAACTACTCAAAAGAAATCGAATGATCGAAGAAAACAAGATAGCGGTTACGGTGAAGATGATGATTTACCTCCAACTTATTACCCACCCTATGGTTTAAATAAATCATCTGATTATACTTATTATCATAATGACTTTGAAAATGAAAAGCAAAATCAGACAAATCATTCATTATCGTCTTCATACGCAAGTCATTACAAAGCTACTTCTACTTCATCTTACGCGAACGAATCTTACTCTGCTGTTCCGGCTGTTGCGCCTACTCCACAAATCATTTACGTTCATGCTCCACCACCTCCTCCACAAATAATTCACATTCATCACAATCATATTCCGCCTCAACCTAATGTCTATCCGAATCACGTTATTCCACCTCATAATAATCAGAATGGAAAAAATTCCACCATGAATACAGTGGCTAAAATTGGCGGTCAAATTGCATTGAGTGTTATTACGGGTGGTATTACTGATATTATTACTGGACAATTCTTATAAGTATTATGTTGCTCGACCAAATATTTATTTATTTTATTCATTAGCTCTTTATTTCGAGTAAACATTCATTAATTCTTATTTATATTTTATTATTTTGAATTGCAATATTAGGTTTTTATTTTTATAAAATATGTATATATCTTTCTTGTGTTTTAATAAGAATGTCCTATAGTAGTTTTGTGGTTTTTTTTTTTTAATAATGATCTATATATATGTTTTAAAAATTTTTTTTTAAAAAAAAGCACTTTTTAAGATTCAATATAGTAAAATATATAATATAAAATAATAAATAATTATTATTTCTATAATTAATTTTATCTTTATATTTTAATTTTTAAAATATTATTTAATTTATATTATATAATCAATTGTTTATATAGTTATTTCTATATAATATTATTCTGTTATAAATATATATTTATTAGATTAAAAAGAAATAAACTTATTAAAATTTTATTTTTATAGTTTATTATATATATACATTGCTAATAAATCACATTATAAATTATATAATCTTATATATAAAATTGCTTATCTAAACTTACAGTCACTCTTATTATAATGAAATCTTTATCTTAAACTTCAACCTCACTATAAGATTATAGTGAAGATTTTAAGAGATTTGATTGGCCAATTCACTATAATAAGAGTATTTTTATTATATTTGTTCAAAAAATTCGTTATATCAAGAATTCGCTATATCAAGAGTTGACTGTATTTTAGATTTGGCAAAATGTTTGAACTATTAATTTTATTAATTTTTTTTACTATTATTTTTTTTTGAATGATAATGAATCATTTAATTAGAATAATATTGAATTATTTAATTAGAATGATAACAAATTATTTTAATTAAATAATAATAAATTTATTCTTCTTGATTAAATGATATTAAATTGTTTTAATTAAATGATAATGAATTATTCTTCTTAAATAATAATAAATTATTTAATTAAAATAATGATAAATTGTTCTTCTTAAATAATAATAGATTATTCAAGAAAAATGATTCAGTTAAGTTAGATCAGAATAGTTCAAATAAAAATCATTATAATAAATTTGATTAAATATATTATAATAAGAGAATAACTGACTAAAGATCAATTGATCTAACAAAATACATGTGATTGAAAGTCACATTATTGTATTATATTAAATAATAAAATGATAAAATAAAAAATATAAATTAAATGAAGATTACATAAAAAAACCTAAGAGATACCAGTTTTTTTCAATTATTTTTTTTATTTAATTATTTATATTAATGATTTTTATCAAAAATAAGATAAATACTAAATATATTATATTAAATAAATATAATATTTGAATTTTTTTTTATTTAATAAAAATTCTAATTATTCATCTTAAATTTTACGCTATTTATTAAAAATTTATATTTATTTATAAAACTTTTAAAATTCTTTTTAAACTATTGATTTATGTTAAATTTTTAATTAATTTTGAGTAAATATTAATTTTCAGTTATTATAGTTTACCTTTAATATAGCAAATTTTGATATAACAAATTACAATAAATACTAAATATATTATATATAAATAAATATAATTATATTGAATTTTTTTTTTATTTAATAAAAATTCTAATTGTTCATTTTGAATTATATAATGTCTATTAAAATTTATATTTATTTGTAAAAGTTTTAAAGTTCTTTTAAACTATTAAATCCTTTAATAATTTTGAGTAAATATTAATTTTCAGTTGTTACAATCTATTTTTGATATAACAAATTTTAATATAATGAATTACATGATTTTTAACTAATTAAATATATCAATTTCTCTTTTTATAATAAAACAATTAATTAAAACCTTCAAATTTTTTGCTAATTTACTTTAATAAATTTGAAAAATAGAAAAGCTACTTTATTATATCAAGGGTAAACTGTAATATCATAAAATAACAGTATTAATAATCATTTATTATATTATTCTTTATATTTTAATATAATTTAATAATATTTAACTTGTAAAATAAAAAAATTTCTTTTTAGGATCACAAAACAAAAAGATAGATATTTTAAAATCCAAATAAAACAAGATATCATCCAATATAAGATTTTAATTATTATTATTTTTACGTTAAGTAATAACTGTATATAACAAATCTAAAAATGCAGCTTATAGTATAATAAAAACAATAATATGCCAACCTACCAGATAACCAAACTTCCAGCCGGGTACCATACGCCCAGAAGGACAGAACTGGAGAAAGAAAACTTACATGAAAGAGGAAATAGAAAAAAATAAATAAATAAAAATAAATAAAATTTAGATAGAAACCCAAAGAGATAGACTGGGAACTTTGCTTGATAGATGAGGCACCATATTTTTTGGGTTGCGATTAGTACTGACGTCCTCGTCGTGCAACCTGGTTACTAGTATTATGCTAGTAGCGAACAAGTACTATTATATTTTTCAGTTCGGTTTCAGTTTGGTTCTTGATCTTTGTGAACCCTACATTATTTGTGGGCTCTCTTTGTTCATAATTTTCAATACCAATAAAGTTTTGCCATTATAACTTGAAAACAATGGATTTTTTTTTTTTTGAACAGAAATAATTGTTTGAATATGTTTAATTTCAAATGAGATAAAATAAAGAAATTTCCCGATTTAAAAAAGTAATTTATTTAAATATTTTCTTAATTGAAAAAATGATAAATCTTTATTGAATTATTACTAAATTAATATCTATTGTATAATAAATTATGAAATATGAAAAAAAAAAAAGACAAAAGAAAGGAGGACTTTAATCAAATTCTAGTTTGAAAGAAGTATGATATTCTTTGCCAGTTTGTTTGTTCTTTGCCGTGGCTCTGATTTCCATTTCACCGAATCGAAGCGTATACAAGACTGATCTCTTTATACCAAGTTCTGTATCTAAATAAATAAATGTTAGTACAATTTTTAATTTTTAATTTGTTTTTCGTTAAAAAATGAAGATAGATTAGATTAAATTTACCTGGCATCGCTACACTGAAATTACCAAGTAAATCTACGCCATCTTCGTCACAATATTTTGCAGATCCGTTCCTCGTTACATAAATGTCCATATCCATGCTTGTTTGCTCTGATAATGAGAAAAACCGATTAATTAATATAGCAATTATATATATATTTGTTCGAAATTTTACGCACCTGGCCGTGCAACGCTAAAACTATGAGAAACTACTTCATCAACATCGACGTGTTTTCCTTTTTCTGCCAAAGTAAAGAATTTAAAGATTCTTCCATCAGGCCTTTTACGAGTTTGAGGATCAGCAGAAGTCCAAAGAGGAGAAGTTTTTGTGCCATAAGTATACTTCAATACACGTGATTTGATAATTTTAGTGTTAAGACCATAATCAACGGCACCGCGTACAATAGCAGCCATCGGTTGCCTTGGTACAGAAATGATGGGCACTTGACTTTTAAATTCTTGTTTGACTTTTAATTGTAAATATTTTGATTCACTAAAACCTCCGACTAAAAACATGGCGGTACATCTATCTTTACTAGAACCAAGTTGCTCTTTTATCAGAGAAAGAACTTTGCTTATAATCGGATCAAACATATCTTTAACATTCTTATAAGTTAACTCGATGAGCCAATCTTCCTCTTCTAAATTATCTTTAAATGATCCCGTAACATATTGTTTTAAGACTGGACATGCTTCATCTAAATCCAATTCATAAGGTTTGTAAGATGATTTTTCTCCACTAAATAATAATTTAACATGTTTACAAAATTCTTGTACAAGATATTGAAATTGATTGTAATTATTCTTTCTTAATAATTCTATTGCACTTTCTCCTACTTTGGTTTCAAGGAATTTTATAAATTCTTGATCCACGTACGCGCTACCACAAAAACCTCCCGTCCGTTCCGTTATTTCTCCTAATTTATTTTCGCTAACCACTTTGCGTCTCGTTAAATCCACCGTGCCACCGCCACAATCCACGATCAAGAATGATGCTATCAAGTCAAAAAGCAGGAGAATGAGTTAGATTTTCACAACAAAACCAACAAAAATGAATCTTAACTGATACTTACTTCCTATAGGATTGTCAAAATGCTCTGCTAAAGTTCTCATACAATAAATCGCAGCAGCTTCGGCTAAATAATGAGGGAAAAAAATAAATTTTTTTAGTTAAAAAGTTAACATTCCCATCGAATTGAAAATTTTACTTTCTTACGTTCAGTTGTGAATTGTAAACGAACGGTGTGAAGGTCGCTAATTAATCCTGCGTTAAATAAACATTCCCTCATAATACTCTTGGATTTTTCGGAAAATTCCGCAGGAACCGTTATAACAATTTTAACTTGAGACATAAATTTGATATTCGGCCATCTTGTTGTAACGGTATCTTTTATAAGCTATCGAATATATAATATGTGTATGTGATTTAGCGAGAGTTGGAAAATGCATTTAAAACAGTTTTAAGAAATTTAAAAATCCTCACCTTGCCTATTAACGTAAAACCGTATAAAAAAGAAATGATGTTAACATACAACAAAAAAAAATATATTATATTGGACAATTAAATTTAAATCACCTATTTCGCGAAGATAATCCGTAATGGCCCTTTTATAACTTAAGCCGGGAGGTAAAACGGGTTTATTTTCTTTGGGTATATCACCTAAATGTAATTTAAATAATTCGATAGGTTTAGGTGGATTGCTGCGGTCCCTCCTTTTCTGACGTTTTGCTAATGCCGGACATCCCCATGCTTCAACCTGATAAAAATTTTCATCATATTGAAGGACCGTATTAGTTTTCAATTGACCAATTTGATCCGGCCATGTGTCGTTCGTTATGATTTCTGGATTTATTTTATTGGCATATGCAAATCCCTATAAGAAAAAAAAATAAAGGATTAGGGTCAATCGTAAATGAATGAATAAAGATCATTTTCTTTCTTACTGAATAAGTTGTTCCAAAATCTTTTCGATAAAATCGATTTAAAATGAATAATCAATTTGTTTCGTTAATATTTGTAAATATGTCATGGTGTTTAGCTAAATAAAACATTTTTACCTATTCCAACCACTAGACGAGTATCGTCGTAATTCATAATGTTTTTTTTTTAAAAAAAGAAAAATAAATAAAATAAAAATAAAAAATAAAAAAAAAAACGATGTTTTATTTTGATTAAAAATGAAATACCTTTTTATATTTATATTTTTGAAATTCGTATTACATTAACATTTTCTGTTTGTCAAAATAAAAAAATTTTATGATGTGCCCATAAATAGAATATTCGGAGAAATTTGACTTATTCATCACGTACTTGTGAAAGTTTAAATTTGAATAAATGAAATCACATTATAATGCTTATCACGGTAAAAACACAAATGGACCCCTTTTTTAAGGATCAACTTAACTCGAAAAGTGTATAAAAAGAAGGCCTTAGCCTTCAAAGTGGGACAAATTCATGCATATCTTTTAGAGAATATGACGGATAATCGTGTTGTAGTTGCTATAGGTAATGAAAAACCATTTTGATTTAAAATTATGTGAAAATTTACTTATCTAATATAAAAAAAAAAAATCTTTTTTACGATCAGATTTTGGAACCACCTTTTCCGTAAGTTACTCTATCACATTGATAGAATTTAATCTTTTTATAATTACAAACCTGTGAAAACAATCAATTAGGGATTCGCATATGCTAACCGAACGACCCCAGAAATTATTACAAATGATATTTGGCCACAACAAATTGGTCCATTGAAAACCAACACGGTTCTTCAATATGATGAAAATTATCGAAATGTCCTTAAATGGGGAAATCCCGCTTTGGCTCAAAGACAATCTCGTAGAAATAAGAACTCGAATGCTTCAAAACCTGTGGAACTTTTTAAACTTCATTTAGGAAATATTTCTCAAAGTGAAAAGCCCCCACTTCCTTATCAATTAAGTCATGAAAAAGCAATAATCGATTATTTACGTGAATTAGGTAAATCGATAAATTTGAAATACATGAATGATTGCAATTCCTGATTATCCTTCTGATGTTTAAACCTTAACATGATGTAGGCAAGGTAAACAGTTCATTTTAATCATTTAAATTTTTTTCTTCTTTGAATCTTGGATTTATTTACCTTTATGTTAAATAGACGATTAAGGAAACAGTTGCTTCTCGATGGTATGGGTTAGATTTTTTTGAGAACGTTTTTCTCGTCATAAGTATTCCGGCCGAGTTCGATGATTTTGCAAAAGATACTATGAGAAAATGCCTTTATGGTGCCGGTCTGACAGCTAGTAAGGAATCAAAAAAAGTTGAATTTACAACTGAACGTAAGTTTTAAAATAAAATTTTGTTATGTTAATTTTGACATCTTCCAAATTATATATTCCATTTGATGTTGTATACCTCGGCTCATTATTAGCTGAAGCTGCTGCAATTTACTGTATGCGAAACCTCAAAGAACATAAGAATGCATTAATCCCAGTTAATGGTTTGTAATTAACTTTTTTAAAGTGGGGAATGATCATCATGAAGAATATTTACATTATCATCTATCTTTCTTTATTTGAGAATAGCGTCATTTATGGTGGTTGATTGTGGAGGTGGAACTGTGGACCTCACGACACGTAAACTGTTAAATGATGAAAAGTTAAGTGAAATCACTGAACGAACTGGAGATTTTTGTGGTGGAACTTATGTCGATAGAGAATTTCTTAAATTCCTCGGTCATAAACTTGGCGAATCAACTATAAATCTTCTTAGAGATAATAATTATGGTCAAATGCAACTTTTGGTACAACATTTTTGTCAAAAAGTAAAATTTCATTTCACGGGAAATTTAAATGAATTTGATCCTTATGAACTTGATATTGAAGAAGTTTGTCCCATATTAAAACAATATTGCAAAGATTATGTCAAAGAAGAGATGGAAGATAATGAATGGATTATTGATATAAATTTTGAAGATTTGAAATCCATGTTCGATCCTGTGGTCGGAAAAATTATTAGATTAATTCGTGGGCAGCTCAACTCTAGTCAGAGTAAATGTTCTGCTATGTTCATTGTCGGAGGATTTAGTGAGTCAAAATACTTACAAATGAGGGTTAGACAAGAATTCAAGGAATTGGTTCCTGCTATTATTGTACCAAAACAACCTATCGCGGCTATTGTTCGTGGTGCTTGCGATTACGGACTCAAAATGAGTACGATTGTAGATCGTACCTTAAAACATACATATGGAATTCGGGCTTTAAGAGATTTTAAAGATGGAGATCCAGAAAGTCAGATATACGACAAGAAAAATACTTATACGTTTGAACAACTTGTTTCGCGAGGAACAAAAGTGGATGTTGATCAAGAGTTTTCCAGTATTTATCATCCCCGTTTTGCAAATTTAAAACTCTTGGAATTTAAAATATATATTACAACAGAATTAAATGCAGAATTTTGTGATGAACCTGGTATGAAATGTCATGGAACATTAACAATAGATTTACCAGATGTGCATCTTGGAAAAAATCGGATGGTACAGCTTTCATTAATATTTGGAAAAATGGAACTTGTCGCTAAAGCAAAAAATTTACAAAATGGAAAAATTTATGAAACTAGTTTTGATTTATTGTTATAATTTAAATATAGCCTTTTTTTTGAACAATAAAATAAAGTCGCGAATGTTTTAAGATAATTTATTTAAAAGGTCACATTTCGTTGAAAATACGCAAAAGTTTAACTACCGTTGAGTTTATTAATTAATATCCAAGTCAATATACATATATTTTAAATAACATGAAAAATATTATAAAAATAAAATAACTAAACTGATTCTAAAAATAAACGAATTTCTGGTGGCGATTTATTTTTATTGAGTATTTTTAAATATGATGTTTTTGAACTTATTCATCGTGGTTTGTTCAGCTTTAGGTGGTTTAATTGCAATGATTTTTGCAGGAACAAGGACTTTACGATCTTTTTCTGAATTCAAGCTTACACCTATTAAAGGGAAACTACATAAATTTACAGTATAATCTTCATGATCATCATCTTCCAAATTTCCTATTTCCATTGTTGTTGGATCTATTTTTGCACCGTTGTCGATCCATTCGATTTCACCTGGTGGCTCTAAAACTTTTATACGGAAAATAAACATTTTGATAACGTTTCTAATGATTTCCGCTGCCAACTCTTCATTTTCTTTTCTTTTATCATCTTTTTTTATTGTACGAAGGCCGTTCATTATTTCAATAATTTCTATTTTGAGTTCCTGAACGAACTCATGTTCCTTACCATCATTGTCTAAACAAAATCCACGATCCCCAAGCACCGCCGTGACAAGTTGTCTAATTTTTGTTGGAGCCGCGGTACTTACTTCGTCCGTGCCTTTTCGAGTATAGATCAATTGCTTTATTGTTGTTAAATAATTAAACGTGGAATTGATAACTTCTAATTCAATATGTTTGTTCTTTTCATCAGGGGTTAATTCCTTTTTTAAATATTCTTCAGTTTTCTTTATGATAGTTTCGATTATATAACGTTGTAAGGCAGCTTTAAGAAGAACCTTGTCTCCAGGTTCTTCTATATTACATTTATACTTTTCCAAAAGCACCGTTAATTGTTGCTCATTTATGTCAACTCCTCCCTTTAATTTACAGAAAATACTGATAGAATCTTGTATGATTTCGATATCTTTTGTAAGCTGAGTAGGGTTATTAGCATCATTATCACCCAAACGATAATTCTTAGCATCTCCTAAAGCTGATTGATATTGGGAAGCTTCTTCTCTTAATGCATCGTTCGTTTGAGATAGCTTATTATATTCCTTTCTTTTATTATTCAATTGCTCGTTTAAATGATCATAATTTTCTCTCCAGTTCGCTAGAGCCATTTCATATCTCGTTTTTTGAGCTTCGTATTCTTTATTAAAAAGGACAACGTTATTATTATGCTCTGTTAAAAGTTTGTTATAATCGGTTTTATGTTTATCACATTCATGCTTCAAAGATTTAATTTCTCTATCGCTTTTATCCTTAAAAGATTTAAATTCTTTATCTTTTTCATCCTTCAAAGTTTTAATTTCTTTCTTTAAAGATTTGATTTCTTTAATATAATAATCTTCATTCGGTTTTTCTTTTCCTAAAT